CTTCGGGGCGCTGCCAAACAGCTGGAGTTGGCTTTTGCTAGATCCGACCAAATCTGTCCCCAGACTTGCGCTCACTGAAGCCTAAATGGGTAAATAGTTGCCTGCACTGCATGACTGCACTCTCTGCTTGTTGTCTTGTGCAGCAACCACGCTCCTGCCCTAAAATCCTTATACAGCGGTTCTCAATTTGAGGCCCCGAGATTCAGTCTCTGACATACAGGGTACCTGTTTCCAGTCTCGCCAAAGTAGCAGGTTGCAATTGTAAAACCTCAGGTCAGGCACCTCCATCCATGTTATTTTTGGACTGTTGCATTAGGGTATGACATTTTTCTCTCTTCATGTTCAAAATGGTTGGATCCTGACACTTTCCTCCAAAACAGAGCCATATAAACCCCATATCTGTCTCCTCGAGCTGCAGTCAGCTGGACATTGGTTCCCAAAATTGTTTCTCTAACCAATGACAGAAACAGGAAACAAATGAAGTTGCTGCTACTTTACCTGGAAAATCTGGATCTTGCTAAAGCTCTGTCCTGTAGCATTGGAAATGTACCCGCTACTTCTGTTCTGCTGGATTCTGGCAGGTTTTTTCCTCTAATACTGCAAATTGTGCTGGCAGATACCCACTCTGATACTTCAAAATCGGGAGCGACTCCCAGTGCACCAAGGAACAAAAGCTGCCACAGTAGCTCTATAAATATACCCAACAAGTGTATTCTAAGGGCTTCTGGCTTTTTGCTCATTCCAGACAGCATAATTTGGTTAGTTAAACAGAAGTGCTAGCTTTGTAGAATTCACTGATTAGAAATAAAATATTGATTTACAGATAGGTTGTCAAGATGCAGTGAGATTCAGTAGATAAAACTGTTTTTCTCGTTCTCTGTGTCAATGCTGCAGCATAAGTGTGGTTTTGTTTTCCTTGGCAATGCTGAGGCAGCTGAATATGTTAGACAGGGGATGTCAGGTGAGAACTGGCAAAATCTGTCTGGTGCAACCAGTTGCCAGTTGCAGGGTTAATTTCTTAATGCAGAATAATTACGCTATGACACAACACAGTACAAGTTTTTTTTCTGTCCGTTCTATGCATTCTCTTAAACTACAGAATGAGAGAGTTGAAGCCAGGTTTAGCAAATACTGTGCCTGGGGCTTTGTTTGGTGTGTGCTTTTAGTTTTGTTTGAGGTTTGGGAGTGGGAGGGTACAGATGTACTGAAATGCACTGGGGTTGTTTTGCCGCTCCAGAAGCAGAGAAACCTATTTGCTACTGTTAAAATGAAATTCAAGAAAGCATCGCAAAATAACGGGTCCCGATACTATTTCTCGGTGATACAGACTAGTTAGTGTGGGATATGTGAAGAGAATGTAACACTGCAGGAGAAGTGATGTGTCCATTTTCTGAGTATGAGAATTGGAGTGTTCAGCTTCAAAATTTGGTAGATCTGATATAATCCAGGTTTTTAGCATGCTTGTATGCTGGGGTATGTTGAACTCCTGGTGGTAATTATGGCTGCAGAATTATGAGCAGTTACTCTTGTCTGTTTTTACTTAGTTTGGAAATTGAGGTTGAATTAGCAAAACACAGATAAATAAATATTCTGTTCTGTTGCACCCTGCCTTCCACCCCCGCCAGCATGTGGAGCAAATGGTCTGATGTGCTTTCTTTCAGAAGACAGCAAATGCTTTGTTTCCTTAAAATAGAATCCCACATGCATGATCAGTGGAACTAAACAATAATGATCTTTCCACCACTGTAAAAGTCACCCTTTTATCCAATAGCATCCATGTGTATCTGGTGGATATTTGATTTCTGTGAAGGTTGAAGTGTTTATTTACTTCTTTATCTGTTTTCTCCCCCACACACATTGGAAAAAGTGCTTTCTAGATTCTGAACTGGAAAGTGCCTATCAGGTACATCTTCTCAGCCAATAACTTAAGATCATTTTTAAGTCTGAAATCTGGGTTAGAGGCCAGTGACAGAACAGAAGTAATTACAAAATAAATTAGCAAAATCACCAGTGTAAAAGCAAATGCTACATTCCGATCCCTAAATGTGCTGTTAATCATGAAGCAGGAGGAGCAAAGGCAATAATTTCTGGAGATATTTTTGTCTTTTATGATAGCAAAAAATAACCTCGTGCTACTAGTAAAACATTTGGGTTTTTTCCTGCTTAATATTTAATAACTCAAAACACTTTCAGAGATTAAAAGCAGAAACACTGCTTTCCTGCAAATGAACATTTATAGTTCACAGAAGAGGCAGCTGCCATGGAGGCCCTAGCCATTCACTGTGTCTTGGGCGCATGATCCTGTATCCCATGAAATTAGGAGCAGCAGGAACAAGCCCTAGATTGGGCAGGTTTTTTTAAAAAATGTCTCATGTAAGTAAATACTCTTTGTTTTTCAGCTTGTCCAGGAGTTCAATACCCAGGTGGCTCTATATCGGGAGCTGGTTATTTCCATTGGGGATGTCTCAGTCACCTGTCCATCTTTGCATACGGAAATGCACAAAACTCGAACCCGAGGATGTGATATGGCCTATCAGGCTCATCAAAAGCTAGCAGCAATTTCTGGGTAGGAGTCTAACTTCTGTTTAATTAATACTGTTCTCAGATGCACATCTTTGCTAAGTACTGCATTATGTAAACTTTCAGCAAAAGCATTTACTTGTGTTTCTGTTTTAGGCATAGAGATGTATGGCCACAAATCCTACAGAGTGCTCATATCCTTATGATAGTGTGATTTTGGGTCAAATCCTGGTCCCCTCACCAGGGTGATGTCCTGCTGATTTCACTGGATGCTTTTATGTAAAATAAACAGTATTTTACTCCGTATCAGTAGACGACTTTAAAACATCAAGGGAGAAGCCTTGCCTTTCAAGGGTGAATAGGAATAGCTTTCTGCCCAGTCCTTCGCTAGGTGTACCTTACTGAATAGTTTGAGACAACTAGCTCCACTCAACTAGAGACTTAAAAAAATTAGACAAAAAAAATTAAAAGGTGGAAATTACATAAGGTAGGGGAATACAAATACTCTTGCTAAAACCTGTGCTCACATTCTGCATGTTTTAAAATCCCTGTTTGTGTTGAAATGAGGATTAAAGCTTTGCCAGCATATAATGTTTCCATTTATTCTCTGATATTACAGTATATACATTCTTTTCCATGGTGACAGAATGCATCATCACATACTTGAGACTATGCCTCAGTACAGGATAAACCAGCATAAATAGCTGTGTCCTACAAAATGGGAATTCATGCTGCTTACACAAAGTCTAATAATTTGTGGGTTCTTGACTGAGGCATTTGTATTAACACATGTACCCCCTGAGTCGTGTCTCTTTGACTACACTTTGTCACAAATTTCTGGACCTGCCTTATCCACCGTAAACTGTTGTGTGCCACTGGAAAAGAACATTCTTTTTTTGCACCTCTGCCAAATCCCCATTGAAGTTATTTTCATCGCTTTAATGTATATGAGAAATCTTTCGCAGGTCTCTACACACTAACAAACTAAACAGAAGAAAACACTGGCTAGTCATTTTAGTAGAACTGTCAACATTTTCAGACAGGATTTTTGCAAAGACTCTTAAGTTGATGTTGTGACCTCTGATTTGTTCTTAAAAAAAAAAAGTGCTTTTAAGTCACTAGAGTCTGAGAATTAAAAAAAAAAAAAAAACAACAAACCAACTAAAAGATACCAGTGCAATGAAAGTGTGGAAGCAAACAGTAGTGAAATTGATCTTGTGTACTTTCAGACTCAAAAGAGAGACTAGAATAAGCAAAAATAATACATCTGGATAGCAGAATTTAACTTGGGTATTTTTTTTTTTTCCCCCATAAACAAAACCATTGATACATGCTCGTTTAGAAGTATGGAGGTTTTTTAAGTAATCATTTCACAGTTGGGAGTCTGTCATGTACACAAAGATGTCCTGAAGGTTGTGCAGTTGCTGCGAGATTGACATTTAGCTAATCTAAAACTGTTTTAAATAACTCTGATAATAATGTGATATTCATAACAACTGGTAGGTGCTAGAAACCCTCTGGAAATTACTTGTTTGGTTTGACAGACATTTTACAAGTTGTGCTTCACATCCCCACCCTCCTGCAGCTGAGGAAAGCTGTATGAGCCAACTTAACTTCGTTAGTTTATGTGTGAGGAAAGATGGGACATGAAGGTGCAGCAAGGATTCAGTGTGGAAAAGAAGTAGAAGGAGTGTAGTAATAAATGGTTTCAGAGGTTCAGTCTTTAGTTCAG